GGGAGTGATCATGTCGGAGGATCTCACCTTCAAGGACCATAACATTGTATCAATCGCATCTGCTAGAAAAATGACAGGATGGATAATGAGAACCTTCAAAACTAGGGAGGCCAAGCCCATGATGACACTCTTCAGGTCAGTTGTTCTATCTAGGCTGGAATATTGCTGCACACTAACGGCACCTTTCAAGGCAGGTGAAATTGCTGACCTAGAAAATGTACAGAGAACCTTCACGGCGCGCATACGGAGATAAAACACCTCAATTACTGGGAGCGCTTGAGGTTCCTAAACCTGTATTCCCTGGAACGCAGGCGGAGAGAGATACATGATTATATACACCTGGAAAATACTAGAGGGACTAGTACCGAACTTGCACACGAAAAATCACTCAACTCGAAAGCAAAAAGACTTGCAGACGATGCAACATCCCCCAATGAAAAGCAGGGGTGTCACTAGCACTTTAAAGGACCATACAATAAGTGTCAGGGGCCCCGAGACTGTCAACTGCCTCCAGATACATAAGGGGATTATCAACAGACCCTGGCAATCTCAAGTGAAATTGGACGGAAGCACAAAAGTCGGTTCCGACCAGCGGGCTGTGGCGGTACGTTGGTTTGCGTGCGCAGCATAAAGCCTGGTTTGAGCAGGCTCTAAATCCCCCAGGAGGCCCTGGTAAAAGACCGGGCCGCGGGGGCGTTGACCCCCGGAACTCTCTCCAGGTAAACTCCAGGCATCCTTGTCATCATCCTGGGCCTATGCTAGCACCCTTGTCATTATCCTGGGCCTGTGCTAGCACCCTTGTCTTCATCCTGGGCCTATGCTAGCCCCTGTCATTATCCTGGGCCTATGCAAAGAAACCCTTGTCATCACCCCTGGGCCTATGCTAGCCCCTTGTCTCTCCTGGGGCCTATGCTAGCACCCTTGTCATTCTCCTGGGCCTATGCTAGCACCCTGGTCTTCATCCTGGGCCCATGCTAGCACCCTTGTCTTCATCCTGGGCCTATAGTAGCACCCTTGTCATCACCCTGGGCCTATGCTAGCACCCTTGTCATTATCCTGGGCCTATGCTAGCACCCTTGTCATCATCCTGGGCCTATGCTAGCACCCTTGTCTTCATCCTGGGCCTATGCTAGCACCCTTGTCATTATCCTGGGCCTATGCTAGCACCCTGGTCTTCATCCTGGGCCCATGCTAGCACCCTTGTCTTCATCCTGGGCCTATGCTAGCACCCTTGTCATTATCCTGGGCCTATGCTAGCACCCGTGTCTTCATCCTGGGCCTATGCTAGCGCTCTTGTCTTCATCCTGGGCCTATGCTAGCACCCTTGTCGTCATTCTGGGTCTATGCTAGCACCCTTGTCATCATCCTGGGCCTATGCTAGCACCCTTGTCTTCATCCTGGGAATATGCTAGCACCTTTGTCTTCATGCTGGGCCTATGCTAGCGCTCTTGTCTTCATCCTGGGCCTATGCTAGCACCCTTGTCTTCATTCTTCATTCTGGGCCTATGCTAGCACCCTTGTCATTATCCTGGGCCTATGCTAGCACCCTTGTCATTATCCTGGGCCTATGCTAGCACCCTTGTCATTATCCTGGGTCTATTCTAGCACCCTTGTCATCATCCTGGGCCTATGCTAGCACACTTGTCATTATCCTGGGCCTATGCTAGCACCCTTGTCTTCATCCTGGGCCTATGCTAGCACCCTTGTCATCATCCTGGGCCTATGCTAGCACCCTTGTCTTCATTCTGGGCCTATGCTAGCACCCTTGTCATTATCCTGGGCCTATGCTAGCACCCTTGTCATCATCCTGGGCCTATGCTAGCACCCTTGTCTTCATCCTGGGCCTATGCTAGCACCCTTGTCATTATCCTGGGCCTATGCTAGCACCCTGGTCTTCATACTGGGCCCATGCTAGCACCCTTGTCTTCATCCTGGGCCTATGCTAGCACCCTTGTCATTATCCTGGGCCTATGCTAGCGCCCGTGTCTTCATCCTGGGCCTATGCTAGCACTCTTGTCTTCATCCTGGGCCTATGCTAGCACCCTTGTCGTCATTCTGGGCCTATGCTAGCACCCTTGTCATCATCCTGGGCCTATGCTAGCACCCTTGTCTTCATCCTGGGCCTATGCTAGCACCTTTGTCTTCATGCTGGGCCTATGCTAGCGCTCTTGTCTTCATCCTGGGCCTATGCTAGCACCCTTGTCTTCATTCTGGGCCTATGCTAGCACCCTTGTCATTATCCTGGGCCTATGCTAGCACCTTATCTTTAAATCCTGGGCTATGCTAGCACCCTTGTCATTATCCTGGGCCTATTCTAGCACCCTTGTCATCATCCTGGGCCTATGCTAGCACACTTGTCATTATCCTGGGCCTATGCTAGCACCCTTGTCTTCATCCTGGGCCTATGCTAGCACCCTTGTCATCATCCTGGGCCTATGCTAGCACCCTTGTCTTCATCCTGGGCCTATGCTAGCACCCTTGTCATTATCCTGGGACTATGCTAGCACCCTGGTCTTCATCCTGGGCCTATGCTAGCACCCTTGTCTTCATCCTGGGCCTATGCTAGCACCCTTGTCATTATCTTGGGCCTATGCTAGCACCCTTGTCATTATCCTGAGCATATGCTAGCACCCTTGTCATTATCCTGGACCTATGCTAGCACCCTTGTCATCATCCTGGGCCTATGCTAGCACCCTTGTCTTCATCCTGGGCCTATGCTAGCACTCTTGTCTTCATCATGGGCCTATGCTAGCACTCTTGTCTTCATCCTGGGCCTATGCTAGCACCCTTGTCTTCATTCTGGGCCTATGCTAGCACCCTTGTCATCATCCTGGGCCTATGCTAGCACCCTTGTCATTTTCCTGAGCATATGCTAGCACCCTTGTCATTATCCTGGGCCTACGCTAGCACCCTTGTCATTATCCTGAGCCTATGCTAGCACCCTTGTCATTATCCTGGGCCTATGCTAGCACCCTTGTCATTATCCTGGGCCTATGCTAGCACCCTTGTCTTCATCCTGGGCCTATGCTAGCACTCTTGTCTTCATCCTGGGCCTATGCTAGCACCCTTGTCTTTATTCTTGGCCTATGCTAGCACCCTTGTCATCATCGGGCCCATGCTAGCACCCTTGTCATTATCCTGAGCATATGCTAGCACCCTTGTCATTATCCTGGGCCTATGCTAGCACTCTTGTCATTATTCTGGGCCTATGCTAGCACGCTTGTCATTATCCTGGGCCTATGCTAGCACCCTTGTCATTATCGTGGGCCTATGCTAACACCCTTGTCATTATCCTGGGCCTATGCTAGCACCTTTGTCATTATCCTGGGCCTATGCTAGCACCCTTGTCATTATTCTGGGCCTATGCTAGCACCCTTGCCATTATTCTGGGCCTATGCTAGCACCCTTGTCATTATCCTGAGCATATGCTAGCACCCTTGTCATTATCCTGGGTTTATGCTAGCACCCTTGTCATTATCCTGGGCCTATGCTAGCACCCTTGTCATTATTCTGGGCCTATGCTAGCACGCTTGTCATTATCCTGGGCCTATGCTTGCACCCTTGTCATTATCGTGGGCCTATGCTAACACCCTTGTCATTATCCTGGGCCTATGCTAGCACCCTTGTCATTATTCTGGGCCTGTGCTAGCACCCTTGTCATTATCCTGAGCATATGCTAGCACCCTTGTCATTATCCTGGGCCTATGCTAGCACCCTTGTCATTATCCTGGGCCTATGCTAGGACCCTTGTCTTCATCCTGGGCCTATGCTAGCACCCTGGAAGGAGAGCTTAATCTACATTTCCTTACAAAACAGGAAATATAAAATCTACGGCAGCTACACATACATAATAGTCAGGTCACTTTTTAATTAGTAGTCAACTTAAACATAAAAAGTTTTTACCGACAAATGCAAAGTTCTAAATATTGGACAAGAAAATAACCATGCCACATATTAACTAAATAATGTAGATCTTATTATTACTGATCGCGAAAAGGATTTAGGAGTTCTGGTTAGCAGTAATCTGAAACCAAGACAACAGTGCATAAGTGTTCGCAATAAAGCTAACCGAATTCTTGGCTTCATATCTAGAAGCATAAATAATAGAAGTCCTCAGGTTGTTCTTCAACTCTATATATCCTTGGTTAGGCCTCATTTAGACTATGCTGCTCAGTTCTGGTCACCGTATTACAGAATGGATATAAATGCTCTGGAAAACGTACAGAGGAGGATGACAAAGATGATCCCATGTATCAGAAATCTTCCCTGTGAGGATAGACTGAGGGCCCTGAATCTGCACTCTCTAAAAAGGCGTAGAATTAGGGAGGATATGACTAAGGTGTATAAATGGAAAATAAGAATAAATAAAGAGAATATAAATAGCGTGCTAAAAATATCTAGCCAAGACAGCACTCGCAGCAATGGCTTTAAGTTGGAAAAAATCAGATTCAGGAAGGATATAGGAAAGCTCTGGTTTGGTAATAGAGTTGTGGATGAGTGGAACAAACTCCCGAGTATAGTTATAGAAGCTAAGACGTTGTGTAGCTTTAAAAATAGGTTAGATAAATTCATGAGTGGGTGTGGGTGGGTGTGAGTTGGACCTGACTAGCTTGTGCTAATACGTCTGATGCCGTGCCCCTTCCTTAAGTGAATGTAACCTGACCTGACTAGGTGGGTCATTGATTTAAACCGGGAGGTGACTTGTACCTGCCTCGCATAGGCCAGTAGACTTGCTGCAGTGTTCCTTCTATCTTATGTTCTTAAATTAATGAGCATCGTTGCTTTATTTAAAATGAGATATAGTTCAACTTTCTGACACTTGGATCTATTGGTAGAAGGCAGTCAACACTAACCGGGAGGCGCTTGGAGGACGGTGGATCGACCCTCCAATATTACACGAGCTGAAAGTCTCTTTGCAGAACTAGATAGTCCGGAATCTCATTATTTCTTTGCTTAATGTTTATATGCTTGTGAATGCTGTTTGACTTGTATTATTGCAGGTTTGGTGGCAAATATGTACCTGCCAATGGTGCAGAAGGTACACATCCCTGAGTGCATCAAGCTCTCGCTGGAGGTACTGAGGCTGTGTGGCATCCTCATCCAGATTCTTCATCTCCTGGTTGTGGCTCTCAACCACTACATCGGCATCATCCGTCCACTGCACTACGCCGCCACTTTCACTCCCACAACTCTCAAAGTCATCTTATGTACTCTGTGGCTCACCCCTAGTAAGTGTTCACCCTCTTGCTCATTCCTGGTAATTAGGCACCCTTCGGCTCACCCTTAGTAGTAGCTCATTCCTGGTAATTAGGCATTCTCAGGCTCACCCCTAGTAAGTATTCACCCTCTAGCTCATTCCTGATAATTAGGCACCCTTCGGCTCACCCTTAGTAGTAGCTCATTCCTGGTAATTAGGCATTCTCAGGCTCACCCCTAGTAAGTATTCACCCTCTAGCTCATTCCTGATAATTAGGCACCCTTCGGCTCACCCTTAGTAGTAGCTCATTCCTGGTAATTAGGCATTCTCAGGCTCACCCCTAGTAAGTATTCACCCTCTAGCTCATTCCTGATAATTAGGCACCCTTCGGCTCACCCTTAGTAGTAGCTCATTCCTGGTAATTAGGCATTCTCAGGCTCACCCCTAGTAAGTATTCACCCTCTAGCTCATTCCTGATAATTAGGCACCCTTCGGCTCACCCTTAGTAGTAGCTCATTCCTGGTAATTAGGCATTCTCTGGCTCACCCCTAGTGAGCGAACCCCCCCCTCTCTCTCTCTCTCTCTCCCTCACCCAAAGCATGTAGGCAGCTTCTAGCCTACCCCTAGTAAATAGGCACTTTATGATTCATTCCTATTAGGTACCCCTCATCTATCTCAATCTTGGTAAGCAGGTACCCAATGGTTCATACCTAGTAAGTAGGCGTCATCTAACTCACTTCTAGTATGTAGGCACTCTCACTCAACACTAAGTACCTCACTAAGGAAAGTATTCTCTGATTCAGGTAATGAGAGTAATTTTCAGTCTTACGTGATTACCTGCATACAAGCTGGCTACTCAGGCTTTATCTCTCCTCGACCAGACTGAGACAACTGGTAACTTTGCCTTGTAACTGGTAAAGGGAACACAACCATGTACATAGTTAAGGCAGGAGTAACTGAGAGGTGATCATGAGCGTGGAAGCCCTACCAATAAGTTAGGCTAGCACTAGAGTTGTAGAATATTTTCTCTGTACCAAGATTTGAAAATGTTTTCAAACAGGTATTATTATTATTATTATTATTATTATTATTATTATTATTATTATTATTATTATTATTATTATTATAAATGCCTTAGAATTTATAACGATACTTCAGAATCTACACATTCAGTTGATATTTTCCCTGCAGATGAAATCCCATTGATGCTCTCATATGTAACAAGGATAATTCTAGGCCAGTAATTGATCGTGTGCGCCCTCCTGTTACCGCTGGAACTCGGCCTCATTTCCTAAATTAAGGGTCCTCTCCGTGTGTTTGTTTTGCTGAGGGTATTGAACTACATTTGGGGTTTCCTACCCTCATGATTTGATTACAGTTGATTTTGCTGGGACTGTCCCTGGGAAGTTCGTTAACTGGTATGGTAAGGTAGTCCGTAGAGCACGACCTTGTCGTCCGTCACCCACATATCCAGTCTTTTATCATTATGGGTTTTAGTCAGGCACCTGCGTATGTTTAATAAATGTTAGTTCAGTATAGCTGTAGAACACCAGAGGAAGCCGGAAGAGTTTTGCCAATACTTGTATATAAAAGTTTACACAAATAACCCGCACATGAGTGAAAGAAGCATACGTCGACGTTTCGGTCCGACTTGGACCATTGACAAGTCACACTGTGACATCAATGGCTCTAAACGTCGTCATAAGCTTCTTTCTCTTAAGTGCAGGGAATTTTTGTATTGTTCGAGTCACAAAATTGTACCTTTATTCTCTTTTTGTACGAGTTTCCTTACTATGCTGTCCCTGTTTACATAGAAACAAATAGGCGCCTGGATGTGAGTAAACGGTTATGGGCCGCATCCTGGAGAGCGGAAATCACATGAGGCAGAATAACAGTTTTTAGTCGGTAAAATGAACGATGTAAGAGCAAAATGGAGGCTGAACTGTAGCTCACATATCTGAGTCTTCCTTATAATGACACACAGATGAAAAAATGCGAAGGTATAAGGCATTGTATTTTGATTTTCAGATTTTCAGTGCTGGAAGAACGAGTTCTTCTTTTTGTCTATAGAGAATTTGCATAAAAATATTCTGGCCAACATTTTCCACTTTTATTAATCACACAACGAGTCTTGCAAACCTTGTTAGTCTTATCAGCTTTAGTTCATCAGTATTCTGTCTCTCTTTTCGTAACCCAGTTCGGATTATTTATGCTGGATTGAGAGAATCCATCCACTCCTGTAAAAGCCTTCAGAACCACATGCTCCATTCTACAAGATTGCTTGGTCAACCTAAATTGTTAAATATGTCAGAAAACGTAATAAGTTATTATTACCAGCTTGCTGTAAGATATGGTGAGGGAGGATAGGAGCAAGATATCGCCAAGGACACGCATGACCTCACTCAACCACTCACTAAACGCACACTAAACCCACATTACACTCACGTGGACCCCTCATATGAATTCGGTACAGGGAGCAATAAGAAGTCAAGAGATTCCTGATGTCCAGGACTATCAGTTAACACCGAGACAACAGAGCCAACAATATTAGTAGTGGTGAGAGTAGAGGGTTGTAAGAGTCACAGCAGAACTGCTGGCAACCAGAAGTAAAACCAGTGGTACATGGCTCTGTGAGTCACAGAAGCGCAACATGAGTACTTTAAGATAGAACTAGTAATAATTTAATCGAGGTAGTTATGCTCATAACTTCCTTCCAGTTCCATCTCACCTGTAAATTTCTTGCTATTTTTTTTAATATAGTATGATATATTTTATGACCCGTTTTCATGTGGGCAGTGGCCGAAGGATCGGAGGGTAGGGAGAGAACCTTCTGCATTTCTCTTCTTGACTCGTACACCTAGATAATAAACGATGGTCCTGAGTCTAGGTAGAAGTAAATAGTTCTTGGCAGATAGCCTGGGTGCGAACGTCCAAAACTTCTGCTATTTGTCTGTTGACATGTACTACCGTACTGCTCTGTATACCTGTTTATCCATGTCTATTATCGTGTATATTAGGGGATGGGAGATTAATTTTTTTGGTACTTTCGAAAAGATTGCTGATGTGCTTACATTCTCTCTCTCTCTCTCTCTCTCTCTCTCTCTCTCTCTCTCTCTCTCTCTCTCTCTCTCTCTCTCTCTCTCTCTCTCTCTCTCTCTCTTCTCTCTCTCTCTCCCTCTGTGTTCAATACTAGGTAAAATGCTCCTAGCAACAGCAGTGTCGCTCCCTCAACACAATACTCACAGCAGAAATGAACGATGAGAATCTATTTCCGTTACAATATTAAACAAATATTCACAATATTAATCTAGAAAAAAAAAACATTTTTTGAAATGGAATAGTTTTAAGGGGCACTTCTTTTTATTAATTTGCCATTTACATGTAAAAAAAAAAAGTCCTGTCATTATGGTAACTGTTATTATTTATTATTATTATTATTATTATAGTAGTAGAAAGTAGTAGTAAGTAGTAGAACAGGATATTATATATATATATATAATATATATATTATATATTATATATATATATATATATATATATATATATATAAAATATATATATATATATATATATATATAAATATATATATATATATATATATATATATTATATATATATATATATATATATATATATATATATATATTTATCATAGTTCTGGGATCACGTAGCGAGCAAAACAAGTCTATTTACGAGGAAACTTTATATCTCACTTTAAAGAGATGGATGTGATTTGTACGTGTGAGGTTCATAGCAAATGCTCAATCCAACTCACATAGAAATAATTAAGAAGATAATTAATATGAATACTGTAAATTTAGGCTTCACAGTGAGATCCTGTTCAGACTATACAATGTGAGAGAAAACCTGAGTATATCCGTTTACAAGGTGAGTCCTCTCAGGACTATTGATTGTGGACATTGTAACACAGCTTGTTGGGTTCTGGTTTAATAAACAAATAAACCGCACATACGAGAGAGAAGCTACGACGACGTTTCGGTCCGACTTGGACCATATACAAAGTCACACTAACACAAAAGAGTGAAGAGTGAGGGGGATGGTGGACAATATATATAGGCGAGGGGGTTTTAAGTTAATGTTTTATTTACAGTAGTGGGAATGTTTGTGGCTTTCTCCAGCGTCACTAACGAAGGTTTCCAGGCCACCAACTGCTCCAATGTCACCTTCTACACTCATGGTCTTCCGGTAAGTAGCGTTTTCTTAATAATCAAGGTCGCATTATATTATACACTCTTTACAAGCACAGCAGCATCCTGCACAGGCTTTACGACTCCAGGAGAGTGATGCAACAGCCTCAACATGGTGAGCAAGGAATATCAGTTGTAAATTGATAAACAAACTGTGCCAAGAGAATACTGGGAAATTTTTCTTCACGGAGTTCTAGAATACTGAAATGTGGTACAAAAGGAGGCAGAAATAGCACTTGACAAATAGCAAATAGTACTTGACAAACTCTTAATATTTGAGAATATGATCATATTGCGGCATTCTCCATGGTGTGAAATTGTCATTTTAAGGTTACAGTGTATTGACAGTTTTTTTTTTATATAAATCATTAGGGATGTACCAAAGTATCGGTTCCAGTTAAAAACAACCGATATCAGCCGATACTTTTTAAAATATTAATATGACGTGTGTAAAAATATCAGCATTAAGACACTAACTAATGATTGTGAGGGTTACTCACACACACACACACACACACACACACACACACACACACACACACACACACACACACACACACACACACACACTCACACACACACCGTGTGCGTCAGGCCCATAATGGAGTATGCACCACCAGTATGGAACCCACACCTGGCCAAGCACGTCAGGAAATTAGAGAAACTGCAGAGGTTTGCAACAAGACTAGTCCCGGAGCTAGGTGTATGTCCTAAGCGGAGAGGCTAAGGGAAATCAACCTAACGACTGGATAACAGGAGAGATAGTGAGGTCGTACCGACTTATAAAATACTGAGAGGAATTGAGAAGGTGGATAGGGGCAGGATATTTTGGAGATGGGACACAGCAACAAGGGGTCTCACCTGGAAGTTGAAAACTCATTAATCATGGGGATGTTAGGAAGTATTCCTTCACTCACAGAGTTGTCAGGAAGTGGGACAATTTGGAGAGTGATGTAGTGGAGGCAGAATCTATAAAATGCTTTAAGAGATACGATAAAGCTCATGTAACAGGGAGAATGTGGACCTAGTAGTGACCAGCGAACAGGTGGGGCCAGGAGTTGTGACTCGACTGCTGCATCCACAAATAGGCGAGTACACATACACACTATCTTTAACCCCAGTGAGGTAGTCACGGGTGTAGGTCGTGAAACAGAAGAATGTTAAACCTCACACTCCAATCATTGTTACTTCCTATGTTCCTCATTATCAACAAAAAACCTAATTAGAATGAATAGATTTTAATATCTGTCCTCACTTGGTACAGAATAACCCGAGGTATAACTGATGATGACTGTTTCTTTAGGTATACCTCTCAAGGTATACTTAAAGAAAGATGATTTTATAAGCTTTTATTTAACAAACTTCGCTGATGGGTAAGCTTCATCTGGTCTTGATAAGCTGGGTGTAAGAGCAATAAAATATCGATAAGTGGCACGATGAAGACAAATGCAGAATAGACTGTTAAGACAAAGCTTACCTTGGAGAACAAGCTTTTTCATGCTTGGTCTCCAAGCGAAGTGTTGTCTTAACAGTATCCATTCTGCCTTTGTGTCCTGCAAGCCATGATAACTTTATAAGTTCACTACTGAGCGAAAAGTCTTCTAGAGTATTTGTTTATCCTACGTTACATGTTTTTGTACCTACTTGTCGGCTTGCTACCCCAGTTGCCATGGTATGATCTCTGGATCTGTGGCTGTCAGCCTTTTCGAACACAAGGATCACTTCTGAACCTCAAAATTATGTTCGGTCCCTCCCAAGCTAATAGTTGCAATTTTAGACTAAGAGAAAGCACATGTCAAAAAAACTAACCACTGTCTCTAGACGATAGTAAATTTAATTTGCATAATTTTTCGCAGAGGTGATGTTTTGATGAGTGAGAGACTGAGGATAACCTACAAATAAAATATTTAACCATCACAGAACTCGCGATGATGGATTCACGTTGGACAAATTTGGAGTTAGAGAGGAAATAAGGAAGAACTGGTTTGGCAATAGAGGTGTAGGTTAGTGGAGCAAATTCCCAGGTAGCGTCATTGAGGCGAGAACTTTGGGTATATAAAATGGATGGGTACATGAGTGGGTGTGGTTGGAAGTAAATTGAACCTGCCTAGCATAACCCTGTAGCCCTACTGCAGAGTTCCCTCATTCTTGTGTTCCTATGCAGTTCCGGATTGTGTGGACATGCATCTTCTTCGGGCCAACGTTGGTCATCATCATCGTGTACTGCCACATCTTCTACCTGCTCAACAACCGCAGTCTCTACCTGGTTTGTGCTGAGCAGCGCACGCAGCTCAGAAGAAACATCAAGGTAAGTCGCATGAGGAACTGGACTCATATTGGACACCAGGGTATCTTTATTTGAAGGTATTTTGCCAACCAGTGGCTTTTGCAATTCATTACAGAGATGATATATGAAGATTGTTGAAAATGAGGTACTCGGTCTCATAGCCTTGTAGAATTATTCACAGAAGACAGTGAAAAATGAGGTAATCAGTCCCTCAGCTTGGTAGCCTGTTTAGTACCGTAGTTTTGAAGAATTTGAGACATAAAAATTTCAGTATTTTGGTACCAACAGCTTGGTTGACCAGGCGGTCATCGAGACTGACCTTAGGCACAATTGCTAGGGTGGAAAACCCTTGTAATTGGTGAGAGGAATGTCACAGATAAACCAAGAACTTAGAGAGGAAAACTTTAGAGGTCGTTTTCGTCCATAACTTCATTAAGATCCAGAAGTTACCGAAGCGTCAAAATCACCTCTAAATTGTGGTTTTGTTGTGACCTCACATCTGCTTCCCAGAGAACCCAGTGAGCTCTTGCAAACTTAAGACGTTCAGTCAGTACAGTTAGGAAGCTGTCTGTCTCAATCACTGATAGTAAATATGCAAACTCTGACGCTGACATCTATGAAAACTAGCTGATACTGACATCTATGAAGACTTGCTGACAGTGACGTCTTTGAAGACTCGCTAACAGACATGTACAAAGACTCGCTGACAGTGGCATCAACTACTAAGGCTCACTAACAGAGACAAGTTTAAATTTGCTGACACTGACATCTACATCGGGAAGAACAAGAAACCATACCTATGACATGGCTCACGCAGCCAGAAGAGTGTGAAGTCATTAGCGGCCAGGAGAGAGGCGGGACCAGGAGCTGAGACTCAATCTCTGTAACCCCAGCTAGGCGAGTATGATCAGTTGAGTACACACAGCCAGTAACCTTCTTTCGCTCTCTCCCACAGACAGTGAGAACAACAGCTTTGATCGTAGTGACCTTTCTGGTAGGCTGGGGACCGGCTGTGGTTAAGTTCATTCTGATATGTTCCGAGTGTGTTTACACTAAGACGGACCTCCACACACAGATGTATCTGGGAGCTGCCTTCAACACCCTCTTCTCCCTCAAGGTAAGTATCTGCTTCTGTTTGTGTCTACATTCAGTCTCCCTCAAAGTATCTGTTTCTGTTTGTGTGTACGTTCAATCTTCCTCTGTTTGTGTGTACACTCAGTCTTCTCAATGAACGTATCCTCCTCTGTGTGTATGTTCAGTCTCCCTCAAGGAACGTATCCGCTTCTACTTGTGTATGCGTTCAGTCTTCTTCCTCAGGCAACGTATCCACCTGTACCTGGTTGCACGTTCCATTTCCCTCATGGATGCCTCCACCTCTAACTGTGTGTACCTTCCAATTTTTCCCTTCATGGTTTGATCTCTCTCGAGCTTCCATGTTCTCCTTCCACTCCTCTCTTTCGACGAGTCATATTATCTGAACACGCAGAGAGAGAGAGAGAGAGAGAGAGAGAGAGACAAACAGACAGACAGACAGACAGACAGACAGACAGACAGACAGACAGATAGACAGACATTGATCCTAGTGAATACAGTAAAACAATAAATTTTTGGGGAAAATATGTTTTATTAAGCAAAAATTTACAGTTATTTTTAGTCAAATGATAATAATAAGAAGATAAAATATAGGCAAGAAATATTATTATATTACAAACTTGAACCTGCAATAACCCAGCTAAGTTCGTCAAGTCACTTACACTGGATATATACACCGAGTCTTGTATTTCTCTCAGTGTATTTATGCTGAGAGAATAATATGCAAGAATAAAACGAAGAATATACAAGAATTCTCCATTCCCTATTTTTAAGGGTTAAAATATTCTTGCCTGGTGGTAAGAAGGTTACACGTGTAGCCTTGATGACCTTTTTGTAGTCGATAGACTTGAAACTCCAAGTTACTGGGTCACTTGACTGTGATTTGTATAGCAGCAATATTTTAAAAAACTGAATAACTTAATAACTGAATAACTGAATTACTGGATAAATTGATAACTAAGTAAATACGATAATAACTAAATGATTTATTAACTTAATGTCATGATAAATAACTTAATTAATGACTAAATACCCTAATAACTAATTTGACAAATAACTTAACATTGGCACTCAAGGGAAAAGTGTAAGTGTCAAGTTCAGTACATGTTGTGTGTCTTGGGCCCTCTGAAGGGTTCTTGATCCAAGGATTTAAAGCTTTTCCTTCCCTTGGATAAAATCTGATTTCCTCCCATTTCTCAGGTGTTGCATAATCCGTACGGGTTGAGCACTATTCATATGATAACCAAGCAAAGCCTGTAAATGTTGATGATGATGATGATGATGATGATAATGATAATAATAATAATAATAATAATAATAATAATAATAATAATAATAATAATAATAATAATAATAATAATAAAACACAAATAACCCGCACATAAAAGAGAGAAGCTTACCCACGACGTTTCGGTCCGACTTGGACCATTGACAAAGTCACACTTTGACTTTGACTTTGTCAATGGTCCAAGTCGGACCGAAACGTCGTCGTAAGCTTCTCTCTTTTATGTGCGGGTTATTTGTGTATCGTTCCAGTCACGGTATTGTGCCTTTTTGTTATTTAATAATAACAATAATAATAATAATAATAATAATAATAATAATAATAATAATAATAATAATGGTTAATAATAATCTTCTGTTTGTTGTGATTATTCACAATATATTCGTATCATTCAATATATTTCAATTTCCTGTTTGTGGTTTCTTGTCCCGTTTCTCATGAATCCTGGTTTCTAGGTCTTCATAGACACGTTCATCTACGCCATCCGGCTGCCCGACATCCGGAAGTCGCTGGTGATGATGTGGCTTCTTATCAGGACACGGCTGAGGCGGCGACAACCTGGGTTGATAGATGGCTTGGCCACCTCTCCCTCACGAACCAGCTCCACCAGACTCTCTCTCAGCTCACCCAGCTTCCACAGGTGGGACCAGGAACTGCTATTAGGTTACCTCAGTTCATTTCAAAAGCCTGTTTGTAGCTGTGGTATACTACCCCATCCTCACAGTCGGCTAACACGCAGGTACACCTGTTAACAGCTGGGTGAGCAGGGGTAGCGGGCGTAAAGACACTTTAAGAAAATGGTCTGGTGATGCCGACAATATGTGGAAAAAGACTCTTATGTACGTTTCAGGGCATTTATTAGAGGAAACATTTCGCCACGAGTGGCTTCTTCAGTCTAAAAGTGACTTTTTTCACACACATGAAAACACTTGCCCATACTTCTGGCCCTACACACGGGTCCTACACAGTGTATATAAGTTGTAAACCGAGTTCTCTGACCACGTCATTGGGCTTGAAAACAATGTTACCGAGACAACAAAGTAGGTTACACAAGACTCACGAAATAGTAATGACACGATTGCAAACAAACCATACCACGGGCGGGGTTAGAACCCGCGATCGCGGGCTCTCACCCCGCCCGTGGTATGGTTTGTTTGCAATCGTGTCATTACGATTTCGTGAGTCATGTTGACGGCTTTGAAGGGACTTGAGCTAGAGTTCGTCGCGGCCACGCTAGTTGCAGATTCGTCTGTAAAAACTTGCATTTGTGGTCACAGTGGTGCCTATGCTAACCATCCTATGGTGTATAAATATACCTAGTTGAATGAATCTTATTATGGCTAGCTGGTCCAGTTGCTAACGAGACGGTCTGGAGTTTTGAGACTCTGATCGCGAGTTCTAACCCCGTCCGTGGTATGGTTAGGTTACACAAGCAGTGGTGGCCGATAACGCTAATAACAATACTAATTAATATGTAATTGGCTTTATAATTAAAATACTTAACATTAAAGGGACTAATTAGCAGCAAAAAAGAGTGATCATTGGTAACATTAGTAAAAAAAATACCCCGTTGAGTTATCACGCTAAGAACTGTTATCATTATATTGATGACATGAAATACTATTCTTGCACTCACTCTTATCCCCTTATACCTTACACGTCATAAAGATTTGCATTGGAAATCTTAATGACATGTAATTGCACGATCTTCCGCTTAAGGGTTCAGATACCCTGTTAATGAAGAAAATTAACTATGGAAAATTTAAACTTAATCTTATGTTTGTTGGAAAAGATTACCAATACAATGGTTCAAATGAACATTGTGACTGTGGTGGTTTATCGTAAAGAGGGTGAACTATGACATGAGCTGAGGCAGGTTAACAGTTCTGAGAGTAAGACACGTATGTAACACTTTGGTACCTTTAATGGCGAGATGTTAGGCCTGCTCAGCAAGTTTCTTCGGTAGAAATACAGAGGAGGAAGCAGAAATCGAGGTGAACACCTTATATCTATATTTTTCATGACTTCTGCTGCCTCCTAAGTATTTCGACCGAAAAAGCCTGCCGAAGAGGCGTAACTTCTCATCAGTAAAGATACCAAGCTGTTACACACGCCTTACTCTCAGAACTGATAACCTGTTGCAGCTCAATTCATAGTTCATCCCTTTTAAGATATACTACCATAGTTCCCCTGTATAAGAGAAACGGAGATAAGAGTGAGTGCAACAATTATAGGGAAATTAACCTGTTAAATATGCCGGGTAAAGTACATGGTAGAGTTTTCAGTGACACAATTGAAGGTAAAATAGAAAATAAGATTGAAAATGAACAAGGAGGCTTTAGTAAGAGTAAGTGATGTGTAGACCAAGTGAGCAATACTTAGATAAAGCTTAAGAACGTTTTGATAAATTTATGGATTTAGAAAAGGAATATGATAGGTTGAACGGGGGAGTAATGTGACAGTCGTTGCAAATGTGTAAAATAGGTGGTAGGTTATTAAAAGCACTAAAAAGTTTTTATATGGATAGTGAGTCTTAAGTTAGTGTATATGGGAGAGAGGGAGACTTTCCTGTAAAACTAGACCATTGTCAGGGATGCGTTATATCACCATGGTTGTTTAACAAACAGATGGGGTTGTAAAAGAAGTGAAGAAAATGGTGTTGGAGAGAGGTGTGGTATTCAAAGATAATGAATTATATACAAAGTGAGACACGCACAGGTGTCTTGTTGTTGACACTATCCTTCTGAGAGATTCTGAAGAGAAGTTGTGACTGTTAGTAGACAAATATGGGAAGGAATGTAAAAGAAGGAGGTTAAAATTGAACATGGGAAAGAGCAAGGTGACGAGTGACCAAAAATTAAGCAATGAAAAATTAGACATCAGATTGGATAATGGAGGGATTCTGGAGGAAGCAAATTTTTTCAAATATTTGGGAGTAGACTTGTGAGTGGATGTGTCTATGAAAGACGAGATAAAACATAGAACAGAAAAGGGGGAGAAAAGTGGGTTTTGGTAAGTTTAGGCATCTGTGGAAACAAAAAAAAATATCCATGAAATCTAAAAGGGGAATGTATGAGACTATAGAGTACCAGCATTGTTTTATAGGTGTGAAGCATCGAATTTAAATTTTACAGCGAGGATAAGACTGGTGGCAGTGGAGAGGTCGAGTCTGAGGGCAATGTTTTGTTTAAATATTATGAAATGTGGGAAGAGTTTAAAAGAAGGGCTGGGTACCCAAAAAAGTATAATTTTTGGGCCGAGGAGGGTTGTTGCAGTGACTTGAAAATATAGAGAGGATTGAAAAATAAGATGACTGGAGGTATTAAATATGTGGGGGGTAGGAAGTGGGAGGGGGTAGGGGTCGTCCGGAAAGGGGGCTGGGGGAAGTGATGAAGGGGGTTTTGGTGAAAGGGATATAAACATTTTTGGGTTTGTGTAAACGTTTTAGTCAGAGTAAAAGCAAGTGTTTTTTTTAACCGGGCTTGTTCTTAGGTGGGGGGAAGCAAATACTGACGGTGTTCAGGGAAATCAGTCACCCGCACTTTTTTCCATAAAGACGTACAATACCTTCACGCTGAAGAAGGGGTGAGAATGTCGCATTTCGGAGCGCCACTAAATGTCTCCTCGAGGGAGAGGGCCCGGTGTGTTAAAGAAAAAAAAATAGCTACCACCCCCAAAAGTACCACCAACGGTCAATTAACACCACGGTCTTTTTTAATGCTGGGTAAAAAGGAGAAACAATGTTAGTAGACTTCCCTCCTCGATTCGTCCAAGATTAAACCAAGTTCGTTTAGCGGCCCCCTAAAGGCTTCCCAAAAAACGGAAACACGAAGATTTATAAAAAGCCCAGTAAAAAAATAATGCTACAACTACCTAGAAATTTTATTTTTAGTACAAATAGTTCCCCGGATTAATCCAAAAGGGTGGGAGCGGGAATTTGCATTGGGCGATCATTAAATGTTTTGGGCTGTGGTCTAACATATGGGCTGAACTGAGTCGTGGACTGACAAATCACTCGAACTGGTAGTTTCCCCAACAACTCTCATGTAGCAACTTAAATGTTTTGATCTGCCTGGATCATTGTCAATTACTGACGAAAATCCAGGCGGACGGAGCATTGTCATCAGGTTTCTCTAAAAGGGAAGAAAAAAAAAGTGGGCATTTTTTGTAGCTCAGTCCCCACCAGGGGTAAATGTTACCCACGGCAGTGGGGGGCATCAATCCCTCACCTGGAAAAGGACCCAGCGTAAAGGGTCACGAATACCCCACCACAGTAAGGGGACCCAGTGTCCGGAATCTCAATAAATATAAAAATTCCCATTCCCCCCCAAGCTGTGTAACAACTACAAATAGTTGTGTCAACAATACTAATTGTAATTTTTAAATATTAATGAAGGCCCCAGTACAAATTTCACATCTTATGATTAAATTTATTGTGGGCAGACAGTGGCAACTACTTTTGGGGGGCCCTAAAACTTGAAAATTTATGATGGCCCTTTGAAACCCCCTTCTCATACATAGACCCAAAAATTGTAAGAAATGGGATTACGTTATTCGGGGGCCCCCCTTCCGGATTAGGGGCCCTAAAGCTTAAGCTTCATTGTTTCATTGTAAAACCCCCCCTGTGGACGGTCAGAAAAACCAAACTGACAGACGAAACTGTAATGACATGGCTGAAAAACTACAGAGGGGGTAAAAAGGTCTGCTGCACACTTTTTCATGATAGACACACAGTAGGAACAAAAGTTGCTTGTTTTTACTCCCGCATTCCATCACGCAGGATGGGCCTCATGTAGAGTGATGAAATCTTTTAGCTTGATTTGGGGAGACCTGGACGCTTGACGAATCGTCAAGCATTCCATTAAGATCAGCAACTACGAACCCTTAAAATGTTCCTTCCGCTATTGGAGTTACTATTAACGGGGAATTATCATTTGTCCGGATTAAGGAGAAAGGAGGGGGGAATTGCACCCAGAACATAACCTTAGTTGCACCCACACAAAAAGTGTCCTCAACAAAGGGGGGGGGCCCTAAAAAAAAAGAGCCCCCCACAAAGGGGGGGGGGGGGCCCTTTAACAAAAAAAATACCTCAGCACAAAAGCCCCCCAAAAGCGGGATCTGGGCGACCTGAGCATAAAAATATATGATTTTAAAATTTAAATGAAAATTACAGTGGAAAAAAAATCAAAGTTGTTGACACTTTGTGCCCAGAAGTTTTTCCCAAAAGGACACCTGTGTCAGTTCAGGCATTTAAAAAGGGGAAACTTTTCTCCACGAGCGGTTCTTCAGTCATAGGACTGAGAAGCCCCTTTTGGGCCAAAACTTTTCCTTTTAATAAATGCCCTATTTGTCACAAGCGTCGTTTTCCACGGGTTTTCGGTTCCCCATACTATTACACCCAAATGTATTTCAGTCTCTGAAATTTCGGAAAGTTACCCCCGAGAACTAAGCCTTTCACTATTTCCCTAAATCACAAAAATCAACAGCTGGATTACAAATCTTTTATACTGCTTTAAATATAATCAGAGGATTTGAAGCCAATCAAAGAGACTTATTAGTTATTGCAGTGCCCTAATAACAAATTTTTCAACAAAAAAACAAAACTGGATTCTAGACAAACCCCACCAGTTTGAACCTTTCCAAAAAGTAAGATATCCCATAAGAAAAGAGAAGCCAATAGGTAACCAGTAATCGAACATAATTTTAACACAATCACCAAAAACAAAAACTAATTGAAAAACAAAATCGTTTAAAACAATAATCAGAACACAAAAACAAAAATTAGTAACCAATAATCAGTAACACAATAATCAGCAACACAATAACAATAATTATAACACAATAATCAGTAAACCAAAAATCACAACCAATAACAATAATTTTAACACAATAATAGTAAAACAATCAATAATGAGTAATAGTAAAACCATAATATTCAGAATGTCATAAAACAGCCAAAACAAATCAGTAACACGATAATTAGTAAACAATAATCATAACCAAAAATCTAAAACAATAACGTAAAACACTAATCAGAACACAATTGAAAAAAAAAATCAGAACACACTAATTTAACCAAAATTTGGACAAATAATTAGTAACAAAAAAATCGAAACACAGTAATTAGTAACAGAATAATCATGACACAATAATCATAAAAAAAAAAAAAAAATTAGTAACCAATAATTTGTAAAACAATAACAGTAAACATAAATTTGTAACACATAATCAGTAACACAAAAACATAACACAAAAATCAGAACACAATAATTAGTAACACAATAATCATAAACAAAATTAGTAACCAAAAAACAGTAACACAATAATCAGTCACAATAATTTGTAAACAATAATCAGTAAACAATAATCAGTAAACAAAAATCATAACACAATAACATAACACAATAAACAGTAACACAGAATCGTAACCAATAACAGTACCAATATCGTAAACAATAATCATAAACACAAACGTAACACAAAATAGTAACACAATAACAGTAACACAATAATCAGTAAAAAACAATAATCATAACACATAATCATAACTCGTCAGTTCTAAAAATATCATACCCCGCACCCCTTTCAAAAAAACAGATATTGATTTCTTAACAGAGTTTAAAATTAGCAAAACTGCTAAAACAGATGTTTACTTAACATAATTGTTTCCCCTTAAAAGACGTTGTTTGCTTAAAGACGTAATTTCTTTGTTTTGTACTTAAAAGCTTC